AATGAATGCGTAAAAATGATGCTATATGAATTTCTCCTCTATTCGCCAATCGTGTAAAAAAATTCACAATAAGTAATACCTCTAGTGAAGGCATTATAGGCAAAGTTAAGGTACAAAAAATTCGAAATACCAAATATCATTTTCCCTGCATTCAAAAAGATCCAATCATCTTGAAAAAAAATTTTATTTATTTATTTTTTTTGCTGAGAGCTTTATGTCATTACTGGGGGTGATCCATTGTAGAAACAATATTGTTTTACAAGTTCACAATAAGAACTTGATCCGATTGCAGGTCTTGCTGAAGGTATAGCGATTGGAGTTGAAGTTCTGTTCTTTGATTCAAATCCAATTCCATTTGGTGAATTTTCCCATGGATTCTTTTCTTTCTTATCTAACGGTTCGTTTGTTACGGGCATACCATCGATACAGTTACTTGGGAAATATGATGCAAAGCTCTCATTACAGAAATAAGATTGTTGAAAAGTATGATTGGTGTTGATTGGTCTGGCCTTTATAGTGGACGATGGTGGGTTGATACTTGGAGTACCTTGAGCTGTTATCAACGAAAGACTAAAGTCATAACGGCTATATTTATTCATATTTATCAAAGTAGATGATGAATTTATAATAGGTGGTGAACGAACAGGAGGTGAATCTGCTTCAAAATTCCTCGCTCGATTATTCGTTGAAGTTGTTGACCATTTAGAAGTAGAAGAGGTTGTTGAATTCGAATTTTTGTACTTGTTGTTGTTAGATGATGATTGTGACGATGAGGTTCCCAATCTTTTAAAGTTTACTTGATAATTTGATCCGTTATTATTATCCCAGTAATCCCGACCATTAACTTTATACCGGACTGCGAAATACATGGTTTTACCATCAATTTGATTCCTTGAATTATCAATTAATTCTATCGCAAAGATGAACAGATCAAAACTATTTCTGCTATCTTTATCCGGGACACCTTCAGCGTAATTGGCTGATACTTCCGACACGGTTTGCCAAAAATCAAACGTATATCTAACCTCAACGCTCTTTTGAAAGGCAATATTTTGAACTTGAATACGACTACAATCGAAAAGAAAGATAAATCATATAGTGATTTAGATCGTGACAGTGCTATTAAACAAGTTAAAGACATATTATCTACATCCCCTCAATTATCATCGTCTCCAAGAAGAAAATCTGTATCTGATTCATATACTAGAAGAATGTCACTTAAAGTCGACTTACCTCTTCAAATGTCAACCGAAGTTGTTTATTTACCCAGAAAAAAAAGCGGGGAATTAGTGAAACAGATAAGGCTGCTAGCGC